CCCTGTGCTACCCACCACAAACACATGGAGGGCTGTTGGAAGCTTGTCTGCAGGGAGTGCCCAGCTGGGTGGCAGGATGGACAGGCACACATTTCACAGGAACTCAGTAATGTCACCCTTGATCATGAGTATCTGTGGCCGTTTAATGTCACTGGGGCTTGGCTGAGGCGTGCCATGCTGAGGACTGAGCAGCTCATTTGGGATATGCACCTTGCCTTTGCAGCTGGCTTTGTGCAGCTCACTGGCCTCTAAATAAAGCCTGTAGATTTATACTTGAATGGTTTAGGAAACACACCTTTGCTGCTGTCAAAAAACTGTGCAACGGCTGCTTGAACAGCTATCTGCTGTCTGATGGCTGCAGGCCATTTGTCTCTGCTGTGCTGGGCCTGACAAAGCCCTGGAGAGCCCCTGTGGAAAGGCTGCAGTGGATCAGGTCACTCCACAGCCCTACCAGCAGTCTGTCAGGCAGAGTGGCACAGGTTAAGGCCACACAACTGGGGATGTTTTGCTGGTACGTGAATAGGAGCAATCTTGTGAGTCAGATGCTCAAGGGTTACAGGCAATTTTGGATTTACATGTTCATAGACATGGATATGTGTCTGTGAATGTTTATTGCTCTGTCTGGGTAAATCTTTAAGAATCTCCAAGGACTGCCTTTCTGGCAGCCTATTCTGGTTGTTCACCATTGCCCCAATAAAAAATTTGTTTCCCACTGTCCACCCTGAACCTCTGAAATCACAGCCATTGCCTTTGTTGTATTATTTAGCCCTACAGAGAAGTATTTTGTTCCCATTGCAACCGTCTGTCAAGCAGTTGTAGGAATTTCTTGGAGTTGTTGCAGTTTCCTTGGAATGAAGATTATCCAGGGTGAACAATGGACTTTTTTGTTTCTTTTTTTTTTTTTTTCTGCATCTTAGTATTCCATTTCTTGGTGTACTGCTTGGATTTCCATCTGGGATCTCAGATATGCAGCAAAGCTTATTGACTATTATTTAATAGACTCATTTAACACAATTATGAAATTGATTAGGGTCAAAGATCTTAATATGTCTTTGTATGGCAGCCCTTTCTTTGAGAAGTAGTGAACCTGCCTTTTCACAGCCAAACACTTGAGCAAACTGGAGTCTCCAAGGATAGAGTCAGTGAGTGGTCTTCTTGTGATGGTCTTCTGGTGGATGTCCTTGTTCTGTAGGAAAAGTCTTACTACCCCTTTTTGCTGCTTTGTCCCTCCATGCTGTGGGGCTCCAGGGTTCATTCTGTCATGGGCTCTGAAAGCCCAGCCTCTACTGCCCATCATGGCTTAAGTGGATTCAATACCAGTTTAGGGCAGTTCCTGCTGGTAGCCTTTGGGTCAGTTGTCAGCAGGTGGCTTTGTCCTTTATGTGAATGTGAGGGACCACCAGAGAGCTGCTGGACATGGCCCCTGCCCTGGAATGCTGACCAGCCTGGGCTTATCAAGCACTAGAAGAGCTGTAAAGCAGACTCAGAGGACCCTGCTGTGAACCTGCTTATGGGGAAACACTGGAGTCTTGAACATCTGAAACCCCTTTATCATCTGGCACAAAGGACAATGTGATAAATCAGACTGGGCACCCATGCACCTCTCCATATGTGGGGCTACACCCAAAACAGAGAGCTGCAGGCTTGATTTGGATTTTGGATGGCATTTTTTAGATCCCTGCCTTCCCAGATGAAATCAGTATCAGTGATGGGGGGTGGGATATTTCTGTGCATCCACCTGAAGTGAGGAAATTGCCCTTTTCTGTCAGCTCTGCTGACAGGCAGATACCACAGTGGCATTGGAAGCTGGAGCAGAACATAATGACCCAACTTCAGCCATGTTTCATGCACAGAGACTGTTACCCTGTTGCTCTGACACCAGGCTGCTTTTTTTTTTTTTCCTTTTTTTTTGTTATTTTTTAGGTGGAATTTAAGGCGTGAGCTGCAAAACACAAAGCAGCCCTGGCTGTGATCACCTCTGTGAGTGCCTTTCCCTCCTCCTGTGGTCACAGGCAGCTGAGGAAAAGCAAAAGCTGTCAGGTCCCTGCCGAAAAAGAGAGAAATTAGTGCTGGCAGAGTCTGTACGAGACAACTTATCTGCTGTGAAGTTTGAGTCCCTTGTTCCTGCTGGTGTGATCTGTTAATGTAACATGCCTGAAATGTTTTCTTACATTCTTGCAGTTTTTTCTAAGATGTGCAAGATGAAAAACGTGGGGATATTTACTCCAGTGACAGAGGAGTTGTGGTGGGCTGGTTTTCTTTTTATACATTCACAATCTACGCCATCGATTATAATATACAAATTAGTCACATAAACATGTCTGCATTTATGTAAAGATCTATATAAAGCTTATGCTTTCAAATCTGTAATGGATTCATAGATGTTGAGTAATTAGATGAAAGAAAAAGTCCTTTTAAGAAAAAAAAGGTGAAGTTACTGGAGGTCTTTCAGCAAGTGTGTTTAGCACATTAACTGCTATCAGTATCAGCTGGTAGTACTGGAAAAGCCTTAAAGCAGTTCTGTTAATATTCAGCTCCTTTAATTCTTCTCACTGGTCACTTAAAAATACTCTTCTTAGATTCAGTCCCATGTTCTTCCTGGCACTTCTGTAAAGTCCTGCTCTACTGGGCTGGCAGGTAACATTCAAGAGTTTATGCTTTACAAAGGCACACGGCCATGCCCCTGAACCTTGGTGATATTTCTGTGAGCTCCCCAGTTGATGGCAAGGAAGTGCACTAAAGCCTTGCTTTCTTCTCCCTGTGGTAAGCAGACTTTCCTCAAATAGCAGGAGGCAGATAAGTTCACTATGTAGTCTGGTTACATTAATGTTTTCCAGAATTAATAGTAAGTAAATCTCAGATCAACAGTTCTGTATATTCCTTATCAGACTTCTAATTGCTCCAAGTATATTGCTCATTCTATTTCTAGGTGTTTACCTCTCTATTTACTATTTGGTACCATTCTTCTCCTCTTCCTTCCCATATGCTCCTTCATCTTGAGTCCCCACTTTCTTATCATTAGTCTAAGTACAGTTGCATCCAGGTTGGGCTGAGTGAAACAGGCTCATGTGGCTATGTTCAGAGGCCATTTAGAAAACAAGAAGATTATTTGAATTGAGTCCCTGACACAGGTTTTTGTATTTAAAATGCAACTACCCCAGGTAGTTGTTAGAGATTACAGACACAGAAATAAAAATTTGCCTGGTTAAAATTTTCTGTATAAATATCAGTAGTCCCTATTTTGAGTATTTCAGTATTTTAAAGATTGATATTCCAGTTTAAAGTAGCAGCTGCAGGGGATCTGATTGGGCTCTTTTTGTGAATGCTTCAGCCAATCTTTGTTGGTGTTGTTTAAATAAAAGCATTTTGATGCTTAAGTTTAGAACGTTGTATTTAAAAACAAACCCCAGACCTAAAGGCTGTTGTCACTTTTCTCTGGTGAATCAGATTTTTACCAAAAATGCTTTTTCCCTAAGTGGCTTGAAGAAAAAGTTTGAAATTTTATGGAAATGCTTTGTGGTTTCTTAGCTAGTACACTGCTGATTTATAGGCAGAGAGAACTACATGTGTGACTATGTAGTCATTGCTGTTCTGTATTAATTCTGTTTTGCTTTGCATTTTATCAACGTTAATTCTCAGGTTGTTTTCACATTGCACTAATCATTCCAATTACAAATGTTTAATTTATCATTTGGTGCATATTAAACTCTGCTGAAGAATGTTTGGGCCCCAGAGTGTTTGTCCATTTCAAACACTGATGCTGGACTGTGGTTCTGAGCTCATTGTTCAAAAAAAGATCATTCTTGACCAGAAGTGTTGAATTCCCTGCAGTGTTTTTTTCCTTCATGCAGCATTGAGCAAATTTGAAAAAGATGATTATTCACCTCACTCTTGGGATCTGCTTCAGTTCCTCTTATGGCTGTGAGGGCAATGCCAGCTCCAGGTCATGGCTTTGCTCAGCCTGTAACAGGCTGGCAGAAAGGAGGATAGCAGTTATTCATGGAAGCACTTCCACAGCCATTTCTCATTGCAGAACTGTGTGAATTCCTGTTCAAGGGGTGTGAATTAAAACCAGGAGAGATTTTCTTTAGAATGTAACTGCAGAAACACACTCCCAGGCAGTTCTTTCATTGGCCACTGCCTTGTTTTGGATAGGTCAAGCAACTCTTCCTTGGACTGTTGTATCACCAGCTGCTTTCTAGTTTGGAAAATATTTGTAGAAACAGTACTTTGTTCATCCTCATTTTACTGATAGATATGGCAGTAGTGCAGGAGAGATTGTTGAGAGCAGCAGTAGTGTTACTTGCAAGGGAGTAACAGTGAAAGCAGGACCCTGTTGTTGAGGAATATGGCTGGAAGTGTCTCTTCTTGTGTGTTTATAATAAACACAGTGCAGTGAGAGGAAGAACTGTCTCCTCCTGAGGGGACTGTGGGTCAGTAGAGAAGGGAGGAGAAGGGCATCAGGACTTCCCTATTAAAATGCATTGATAAACCATGGCTGGAAACAACTCTGAGCTGTGAGGAGCTGCAGGGATGCCCTTGGCTTGCATAGCTGGAGTGTGTCCTATTGCAGCAGGCAGGGATAGGAATGGGGAGAGGGGGATCAGGGTGTGCAGCTGCCCACAGCTCTGTCTGTGCCTGCAGAATTCCCTGCATTTGAGCAAAATCCCAGGTTTTTGGCCTTACCCAGCCACAGGCTGTGTGCAGCCCTGCCTGGATGTCTCAGATCTCTGAGCATACTCCCCTTTGGTTAAGATGGGACTGAGCAGGCTGAGCAAAGTGCTCTGAAACACAGGTATGAGCCTCCTGTGTGAGTGTGCCAAGCAGCATTACTGCATTTCAAGTGACCTTTCAGTCTGAAACTCTGCCAAAGGGAGGGGAAAGGAAGCCACGGCTGACTCGAGCTCTGAGCAGAGATCCTGCAAACAGATGGTGTTTGCATAGAGGAGATTCTGGTCGGGTGCAACTCCACTACAACTCTTGGTTTTTGATGATTGCAGGCGGGCTAAACTCCGGCTATATTTGGAACAGCTAAAACAGCTTGTGCCTCTCGGGCCGGACAGCACCAGACACACCACTCTAAGTCTGTTGAAAAGAGCTAAGATGCATATCAAGGTAAAAACATTCATCCATGTTTTTATTTCTTTCAAGGGAGAATCTTCCAGAATGTGTATCCATAGAGAGGAAACAAATTTTCACACAAAATCCATATCCATATGTCCCATCTTCTGGATTTATTGGCCTTTATTACTTGCAGGGATTTCAGTCACAGTGTCAAAGTTTAGTCGTTTGCTATTTAGCATCTCAGATATATAAAACAGTGGTTTTGTGATTTCTTAGTTGCTAACTAGTGTATTTAATACACTATAATCTAATTTATTTTACACTATAATTAAAAAAAATATCAAAGCTGTTCTTTAATTAATATATTTATTTTTAAGAACCAAGCAAAGTAGCATTGTACTGAATTTGCTAAAATGTAAAAAAGCCAGATCCATTAATGATAAAAAAAATAATAGAATCAAAAATATCATATCTATTAGTGAGCCTTACCCCATCAACATTTTGTTGACCAGGTTCTCATTTAAATGAAATAAAAAATTAAATGCAATCTCCTGTTAGTTGCTGCTCCCCTTGTTACAAGTTTAAAACAAAAAACAGCCTTAAATCTCACCTATGATCCAGCAGCAGTGCAGGTTCTACATTTGCACAAGTAACTCAAAGGAAATTATTTCTCAGGCCTTCTCTCTCCAAAGACACCTTCACTCCCATTTTCACTGTCATTGTTTTCAGGGAACAGGGTTATATGCAGAAATAAGGCAAAGAGGTATTCAAATGTAAAAGTTAAAGAACAGGTTTCTGCTGCTGTGTCCAGGACTGTAATTACTCATCTGGCATTTTTTCAGTGTTACAGAGAAACAGGTCAAGAAAAGTGTCAGGCAAAATTGAACACTGCCAGTAATCTTGGAATATTTTGGAGAACATCCTGCTGATGTACAGCTTTAAGATTCACTGCTGTTACAGAAGTGGGTGTGATTCATATGAAGAAATAAAGATTATTCTAAGCAAAACCATTCTTGTGAACAAGTTTACAGAGCTACTTTTTCAGCACTTCTAAGCACATTTACTCCAGCTGGGCAACCCCTGTTTTTACCATTTGAGAATTTGGCCTCTTGTTTATAATTCAGGCTAACATGCATGAAAGGCACTGCATGTGGTTTTTGTCTTGGGCTGCCCCCCTATGATGGGCTTATGCATACAAATTGAAGAAGTGTTTTTACAAGTGGCGAGTGTGCGAGATTAGCCCTGCAGTTACCATTTCAGCTGCTGATAAAAAAAGCTGGGAACAGATTCTTTCCAGATCTCTCTTGCACAGCACCAAGTACTCGTCTTCTGAAAACCCAGACTGAAGTTTAACTTTCTTTTTAAGATTTTAACTGAACCTGCCCAAACTGGGTTGGCATTTAATTGCTCCCCTTTTGTCAGGTCAGCTCCCTCTCCTGCCCTGCCAGAGCTTGCCCGTGCCCAGCTGGCATTTTCAGCAGAGTTATTAGTTCTCAACTTTTTACACACACGCACACACACACACCCACACCCCCCCCCCCATATATTGAGATCTGCTCTGAAAGACTAGATGGTTTTGAGTCTCCTGGATATGAATCACTGAGTTCTTGCCTAAAATAGTTGTTAGAGTTTAGGATTGCAGCCAGGAAAATACAGGAAAAGGAAGTCTGATCAATTGGGCACATTTGGTTTGTTGTGTACATGGATGTACCAACCCCTTTTCCTATTATAACATTGTGTTTCCACCTATGATGATTATCTGCAGAGTTTATTGCCTGGGAGGGGACTTAAAATGTGGTGGAAGAAAGTAGATTTCATTGAGCCAGGAAACTGCCCCATTCAAGGGTGTCAGTTATTTTCAAACACTTTTATTTCAGGCTTGCATGGGAGCAGCAAGATCCTGAAAGGGTTTTCTTGTGTTTTGCTGTGCAGTGTCCCAGCCTGCTCTCCTCACAAAACCAAGGCTAGGTTCATTCAGATGGCAGGGAGGAGACTTCAGCAGCTGTATTCACTCCCTGCACATCTCCTAAATCTCAGTGATCATGTAAACACAGCTCACAGAGAAATCTGCTCACTCTTATGAGTGCTTTTACTGCTACAACCTGTAATTTACTCCATCAGATAGATAATTTTTTTTAATAATAAAAGGTGTTTTGATTTGTGTATCCTTCACGCTTTTAATCCCATCATACTCTTACAAATTTTTCCCTAATTATGCAGTCAGTTTTTTTAAATGGCTAGCAGTGATTTGGAGAAGGGCTCAGTTCAAGTACAAAAAGGTACTTTATTCCTGTTACTGTATTTGGACCAACAGTGCAGCACATTTTATCGGGTGTGAAGCATTCTTTTTATTTGCAAAATTAATACCTGCTTTTATTCTGTCAGAGGGGAGATTTTAGGTACATATGTGAAGGATCCTTTCACAGGCTGTTTGCCGAGAAATTCTGAATTAATACCACCGACTTTGTAGATATCACAGAATTATTATACTTGCTCTGGAGAAGTTCAAGGGAAAAAAAGAGCAAGAATAAAGAGAGTTGTTAGTAAATTCCTCCATCTATATATAATTAATGCTGCTTATTGTTAATGAAGCATTTTAAATGCTAAAATTTTCCATGGCCTACGGTAGGAGGGAGAACATTCAGAGGCTCACGATGGTTTCTTTATGGTGATAGGTGGAGTAAGAGACTCATCTAAAGATGCATTATGTTCTCACTGAAACCTGAGCTGTGCTCGAGTTATCAAAGATGATGCTGGTTTCGCCTGATAAAATGATTTAAATATTCCCCACAACCAAGGCAACAATAATTTGGTCTTAGCCAGGGAATGTCAGCTAGTGGCAAGAGAGTCTCTGAGGGATTTTTTAAAAATTATAATTCTTTTTCCCCTGTAACCATGTATCTTACTGTGAAACAAATTCAGCCTGCTAAAATTGTACTGACTCTACAGAATGCTAACTAAAAAATCGAAATTTTACATTTAACTTTAACGTTATATTAATTAAAATAATTACATTGCTTTGAAATTACTATTTATGAGAAGACCTTAAGTTACTTATGCTTTGCCATGGGTACAGACTGCCAGCTCACTGTGTTTCTCTCCCTTTAAGAAATTGGAAGAACAGGACCGAAAAGCTCTGAATATTAAAGAACAATTACAGCGGGAGCACCGCTACCTCAAGCGCAGGCTGGAGCAGCTCTCCGTGCAGGGCATGGAGCGGATCCGCACTGACAGCATGGGATCAACAATATCCACTGACTCTGAACAAGGTAACTCAGCCAGCCCTTCCCAAAGGGCCTGCAGCAGCACAGGGGGAAAGGGAAGCAGGGAAACAAGGAAATGTCATTTGGAACTAAAATCAAGCTTTCAACAAAACCCAGACAAAATTATAACATAATGAGATTTGAAGAGTAAAAAATTAAGGCATCTTTTTCACATTCTTTGAAATTTTTTTTTCCTAATGAGTTTTGAAGCTGTTAACATTGTGTGTATTTTTAAAGCTATTTTTCCTGCATGTTTTTTTGGCAGTTTTTTTAACAGTTACCGTTTAATGTTTTGAATTTTTGCTGTAATTATTGGTAAAGCTGGCATAATATTTTCTCATGGAAAAAAATATCTTATTTAGCCTAATTCATTTGTGTGAATAAATTATTTTCACATCATTTATTGTGAAATTTTAAAACATTTTCTGTGCAACGATCACCAAGGGTTCTGTGCATTTGTTTCTTATTTAAGATAGCTTGTCAAGCTGGCTGTTGCCATTTCTTATTTTCCCATTTGGAAGTTTTTCTGGCAGAACAGTTGCTCAGGCTGGCTGTTTCAGGGGCCCAGGGGGATTGAGTGGATGGTCTTGGGGCAGGTGGTCACCCCATGGGCAGCCAACACCTGCATGGCTGGAATTACCATGGACAGTTCTGCAGTAGGACAGACTCTGAGGGCTGGCTTTTTTCTAAATCAGTGTCAATCTGCAGGTTGGAACAGTTCTGGGAAAACATTTGGTATTTATCAAAGTTGCAGGGTGCCCTCATCACGGGAATGATTGGTATCTGATTCTGTTGATTTAGGAGGTTGAACAATTGCTTTATTAAAACTATACTATATTACATTACAATTATATTAAAGAGAGATACTATACTATACTATACTATACTGATTATACTTACTACTAATTGAAAAACTCGTGTCTGTCTGCAGACTGACAGTCCATACAGCTTGGACCTGATAGGCTAATTGACATAAACAATTTCTACCAGAATGTAATTACTAAATTTCTTTAGGTAAACAATCTTCTTAACATATTCTACATCTGCAAAATGCTAGGAGCAGCCAGCAGAGATAAAAATTGTTTTCCCTCTGCGCATCTCCAGAAAAAAACCTGAGAGAGAGAATTATGTCTCTCTGTTCAGAGAATGTGAATGCCACAGGTGTTGATGTCATGGAGTATATTTATGTGGCTGAGGACAGAAGGAATTTTAATTCTCAGGTGGACAAGATGATCCTTTCCTCAGGAATTACTGTGCCAGTTCTTATTTTTTTTATAATTATTGCAACTGAAGTGTGATTCAGGTGTTGATTGACACTGGCCCATGACCAGTCGCTACAACTTTCTGAAAATGTGCCTTCTTATGTTTTCTTTAGAAGTAGACATTGAAGGAATGGAGTTTACTCCAGGTGAAATGGACAGTATTGGAAGTGCCAGTGATGCTGAAGACCACTACAGTTTGCAGAGCGGTTCGAGTGACGGAGGTTACACACATTCCCGCAGACTGAATGCCAGGCTCTCATAGTGCCTGAGTTACCCGCTCAACTCAGGACCATCTGACTGAAGCACTTATATATGAATATTCCAGAGGTGTCAACTGCCACTCTTCCGGGAAACCCCAACCACAATACTCTGACATGGAGGTTTCTTACCCACGGTTCCCTGCACTGTAACCACAATATTAGATATTGTAAATCATGGGTTTGCTGCAGAGAACTGTGGTTAGGTACAGTTGTGACTTAAAGCTAGCTTGATGTAGCCATCCTGCAAATTAAAGGAAATAAATTATGTCGTTCCATTCAAGAAGTATTAAATTCAAACTGTTGGAAGCATGGCGTAAGGGAGTTTGACAGTTTATTTTGATTTTGCAGAAACCATTTTCAGACATGGAAGAATAAATGAAATCTACAATGTGTTAGTGATTCAGAGATACAAAAACCTAAAACTACTTTTTGTGGTATTTTTTCATGAAAAAACCCCAAACCCAAAACATTTTGAATGTTGTATAGTGGGCTCCATAGAGTAAATTCTTTCAGCAGTTGTTGTTTGGGTGAAGCAGGCAGATAAATCTTCAAATCTCAAATGATCTTTAGAAAAGGTCGTATTTACAAGTCACTACTGTACTTCAAAATGGGGGAAAAGCCAGCTCTAATAATGACTTCATGTGGGATGATCTCAACTTTCTTTTGCTTTTTGTATTCAATATCCAACCAGCAGCAAATCATTCTATCCATGTTAACGGGAGCAGTAGAAAGCAACATGGCAGTTTTAACCTGTTACCGTGGAGTGGATGACATTTGAAGCATTTCAGTGGTTTTATGGGTTGTTGTTTTCATTTCTTTCTCTGAAGAATACAGAACTCAAGTGATCCAGTTTGTGATAGTTAATCTTTCCTTGCAAGGAAATGAAATCTCTGTTTGCTTGTATTTTTTTTTTCTTCTCTTCTATTTACACATGTCAATACATTCTTATGGAAGGCATGGCTTAAAATTACAGTATTCAGCTAGAAGATAATTATTTTTTTTTCTTTTGCACACTATAATTGCATTTTCTATTCTTAAAAAAGTGCAAAAAAATTAAAATGTATGCTGTAAAACAGCAAAGTTTATTTAGTACTCATCAAGCTGTTCAGAACATATTTACCCAAATTGTAGCAATACTATGAAGATGTATTTTAATACAACTTCTGCTTAGTGAAGTCATTAGAGCTTGGCTTGCCGGGTAAGAAAAAAATGGACCAGTCTTTGCATTATCTGTTTAAAGAAGGTCTTTTAAAAAAATAAAAAAAAAGAAGAAAAAAAAAGAAAAAAATTGAAAAAAAAAAAAAAAGAAAAAAGCTATAAACACTTTTAGGGAAGTGATTTTAGCAAGTGTAGTCTATATTTCCTGTAAGAGATTTTGTATTATATTTTCCTAAATGTTCTCATTTACTTGTATAAGGAGGGGAATGGTACAGACCCAGACCAGAGTCTCAGGGACTCTTCACCTTTGTCATATTGTGCCTTGGTGACCATTTATGTATGCCTCTCCTTCTCATTGTTTAAAGGACAACTAAGCTTTGTTTCAAGACCCTCTGTTCAAATGGTCAGTTGTCCACCTTCTTACGGATGAAGCAGAGAGGTGTATTTATATCTTCACCCTCTCACAACTGATTCAGTGTGGCTTTAAGTAAAATCATGAAATTAGGTTTTGGTGCGAGGGTTAATTGTGTTTGTATGAGCCCTCCCTTGGATTCTTCAGCACCCAAATCTATTTTTTGTTAGCTTATAAAGTCAGGGTCTCTGTGAGACCAGCGCTCAGTGGCTTGGGAAACACAAACGTACTGTGTAAGGCTATGGGATGTCCAAGTGTGGTGCCATTTTTAGCATTCAGATACAAGACCTCATGACAGACTGACCATAATGATCAAAAGCAAAGGTTCAGTTGTTCTTTCAACATCTGACATACGTGTCCTCCCTTTGGCTCTTACAACACGGAGTAGAAATATGAATACATTTTGTGGCAGCTTACAGATCCTTGTTTGCACTCTCGCTTACTGCTTGGAACTTGCCAACAAGGAAACGTATACATTTAATTTACATAACCTAATGGACGGCCACCCCTACTTTGGCTCTGGGGAGGGGCCTAAGGTTATCAACTCTGGCAGCTGAATAAGAAAACAATTAACCTTTTCTGTGATGCAGGTTTTGGTATTACATTCTATACACCTTGCATATTACTAAAATCCTCATTGTTGGGGAAAGCACACAGCAATATACTCATTGTGTGTAGCTGACAAGCAGCAGAAATTACTAGCTCCTTTGGTGCATATGTAACTAATTTCCAAATCATGGAAAAAAAAACAAAGAGTTTACTTTAACACACGACTGTTAACAGGAAAAAAAAAGAGGCTAGTATATTGTTGCTGTTCATTTATTATATAATGAACACATTCATGGATTGTAAAGTGTTTCCTTTCATGACAAGCAGCTCTTGCACAGAACCTCCTAATGAAAAGAGATTTGAAACTTACAGAAGGAAAAACGAGACTTTAAATTGAACATTATTGTACCTTAGGTCAACCTGAAATTTTCCTTTTAAAGATGAATGTGCTAACTTAATGAGTTCTTCCACGCTGGGTATCCATGGCTTTGTAGATCTTATATTTTCAATAAAAATTACTCGAATAATCTTGAGTGGAAATAAAAAGGGTTTATTTGTTTTTACTTTTTCAGTTGTTACAGCTGGGAGCTATTAACGCTGGTAAAGAAAAATGACACCATACTGCCTGTGTCATTCTCCCTCAAGCACAGCCCAATTTAAGGTGGAATTTTCAGGCACAGCCCCCGGACAGCAGCAGCCCCGTTAGAGGCACAGCAGATCCTAGGGTCAGGTTTGGGGGCTGGCCTGTCCCCATAGCAGAGCTGCAGGCAGTGGGGACAGTCGGGGCTCTGACATTCTTTTAGGTGCTGCTGCTGAGCAGCCAGTGCAGCACTGCCTGTGGTCACAGCACCTGGGATGCAGTGTTATTTTTATTATTTTTCTCAGCTGGACACTTGTGTGTGTGCCCTGTGGGTCTGCAAGTGTACCTGTGCCCACAGTGGGGCTGCAAAAATCAAACTGTTTGTGCAGGATGAAATCCTGCCCCCGCCCTGGCAGCTCTGCCGTGTTGTGACCGCGCTTTTAGCAGGCGAGGAGGTGCTGCTGCTCAGTTAATCCATTTCCTCTGCAGTTACCACACTGGAAAAGGAGTAGGGGCAAGATTACAGGGCTGCTAGGTCTCCTTCTCTGTGAAAGGGGCTCTGGAGAGATGAAGTCATCGCAAAGTTCTTTTTCTGGAGATGCAGAGGTTTGGCCTGTTTCCTGGGGGAGAAGAAAGGAAGGGCTTTCCCTTGCAGCACACAGGTGTCAGAGGATGCACGCCTCTGCACTGCTCCTGGATTAGTGCTTTCCCCAGCTCCCTGCCTGCACTCTGCCATCACCACAGGGAGGCACAAAAAAAACCAGCCAAAAATTGTTAGTTCTTTCTGTGCATATTCTCTGCTGCAATTCAGAGGATGAATCCTCCTTCGCATCCATCCTCTCTCTGCCCAGTTTGTACCGTGCCAGGCCCATTGCAGCTGATTTATTTATCTTCTGAATAGAGCAGGTTTGGCAGTAGAAGCCCTGCAACACTTTATTAACCAGAGACTGGATCCTGTATTGTCTTCTGCAAAGAACAAACTTGGTTCAGAGTGAGTTTTAGCAGGTTAAAACAGAAATAAAAAAGCCTCCCAAAAATCCATGAGAATGACAGTTTTCCATATGCTGTTTATAGATGTGTTTCAATCCTAATTTATTAGTATAAGATTTGGAGTTGAAAAAAACGACATAAAATCTAACACATTTAACTTGTTCTAACTTACAGAATTAAGACTGACTTCAATGGTGTTATATTTTTGACATGGATGAGTATGGGTTCAACTATACCACATGCATATAATTATAGACTAGAAAAAAAGTTACTCATTGATCTGCAAATAAGTTACAGTGACAAATACCGGTTTTCTGAGCACCTGACTGTGCACTTTGCATAACCCATTTCAGTGGGTGAACTTAAAATACCAAAAGAGGAGAACTGGGCAACAGAAAGAGGTGAAGTTACAAGTGTGGGCTCTGCCTGCAAACCTGCTCTGGGTGGGTACTTCTGCTTTTCCTGGAGGTACTTACAGCAGTCTTTCCTCCTGAACAAGTGATTATTTCACCATTTTACTAACTTTTTGGCAGACTGGTAATTAGTGGTGAAATTTTTCATCCTCGCGGATCAGCCATGTGGAAAGAAACACATTTTTGAAAAGAACCACATCATCACAGCTTTTAAGTAATATTAATTTTATACATTTAATTTTATGATGCTGCTGATAAAGGAATGTCTTCAAAACAAATTACTCTTTCATAAATCTGTTAAATTTGTTTTTTAAAGAGTAGAGGCCATCGGTTGTGTGTGGTATGAGCCAGTAACAGTGCTGATATTTAATCCATTAACTTACACTTTCCAAAATTGATGGAAAAATAATTGAGACCCTTTAGGAACCCTTTAAGGAAGAGCTGTACTCCCTACAAATACTAATGGGGCAAACACATCAGAAATTAATTTTGCCAGCAATGAAATGAGCCAATTTGCTTAAGTGACTGTCTAAATGCACTGTTGTTAATTGGTAGCTGTGAAGAAAACATCCAAGTGTGTTCTGTAGCTACCCAGAATTAAAATGCAGGGGGTACATGAAACAGAAAAGACCATTTGGTCACCTTGGCTGTTGTCTCTGCCTGAAGTATTGTAAATAAGCCCAGGAAAGGATTCCTGGGGAGACATGGCCAGCCAGAGGCTTGACTCTTGGCAAAGCAGAGTGAAGGTGCCCCAAGTTCACAATTCCTTTCTTTCATTTTGCACGAGAGGCATAAACTGTGGTTCCACAGGATTTATGGCATTGGAAGGGTCTGTGCAGGAGGGATGTTTATGATGAAATTTTGGTGCAGGTGAAGCACTGCCTGAGAGCCTTCTGCTGCTTACTGGTACAATTGTTACCTAAAGGTGTTACTGGGGGGTTCTGTGCCAGAGCCTCTGGGTCCCAGAGCCAAAGGAATGGTTCATAGTCTGTGAGATGCATTTGACTGTACTATACAGATTCATTGTACACACGTACATGGCGCTGGCTACGTTCTGTAGCACACGGAGTATTGTGTTGTATCATTATCTCGTCATGATATAAATACAAATTTTTATACCTTTTTGTTGTGTTACTCAGGGTTTTTTTAAACTTTCATCACTTGTTTTTTGTGCTTTGTGTTTCTTCTCTTCACAGTTCTTTACATACTGCAAATCTTTACATGTCAGCTTATTTCATGTCAGCTATTTCATAAGGAGCTCACTGAGTTTTAGCAATTCAAATTAATAGCATGGTATGAAGATTGGGGTGCTACTTAGACTTCTTTTACACACACTGGCCCATTGAAACCCCAACAGTCATTAATCTTATTTGTCTCTAACCATGGGTGCTGTATAAATTTCCACTATTACATTTCTGAAGACAAACTAACCTGTTTGCAAAGTGCAAACTGAAATGCATTAGTGTCTGTTCTAAGTAATTATACTTGAAATAATTTCAGCTCTGTACAAGACAGGGAAAAAAGGCATTAAAAGACAGCCTACAAGTTCTGCATGTTTATTTTGTCAAATATGAAAGTCACATCACAAGTGATGTGCAGCCAGACGAAAACAAGCATTTTAGCTGATGAGAGATGAGAGGAAGGACAGAGCTGAAATCCTTCTGTAAATTACATTGTTTTCTCTCAGCTGCAGTGTGTGACATCCCCTGGTTTGTGTTCCAGTTTGTCACACATGTTGGTACTAAATACAGTGGTACCTTAAAAATATAGAAATAGTAGTTTTACATTGAAATCATGGCCAGTAGCTAGTTGATACATTTATATTTGATTTGAATAAGCTGAGCTGCTGAATCAGTAAGATACTCATGGGCAAAGCATAGTAAACTAATTTTTCTATCACAGTTTTCTTTGCAATTAACATAATCACAAAATAAATATAAAATACAATCTAGCACTTAATAACTTTTTATAAATTAATCTCCAACAGAAAAAATACCTGTAAAAAGATTTTAGCAGTGCTGTACTTTGTGACAGCACCAGTTTTCTCAGCACAAGAATTAAAAACAAATTATTATAAATGTGGTGGCACTATTTTTGTAAATCCTGTACAGTTTATGATTTGTACAGCTCTGCTTATGATATTTGTCACATCATACCATTTGTTTAAAAGAAAAATAAGTTTCCTCATTTTGCTAATAATGGATGTTTCAAATTTAACACTAAACATCCAGAGGCTTGCCTTGCCTATCAGGATGAAAATTAGGGTTTTCATTCAAAACAGGGTTAGGAGAGTAAACAAACAATTTTCTAGGAAAAAGAACATATCCCTTTGTGCATTATATGTTTAAATACATTAGGAGTGGTAGCCTGAATGTGTAGGAGCTTCTTGTATATTTACAGTACGGAATCCAACAAAGCTGAAGGACACTAATCACTCTGACCTGCTTTTCTGGGAATACAAGGTCTCAGAATGAAATCTACCATTCCTCTGGAGAGAAGGTCCATGCACTTGGCAAAGAAAGCAAGCTGGTGCCAAATTCTTGTCTTCTGACTTTGTTATGATAGAAGTTCACATGGCACTTTAAAGTTGTGCTTGATCAAGAATACAATTTTGCTTAATGCAATGAATTACATCTTAGGACAGGGTGTTTCCAAAGATTAATTGTTGTTCCAACAATCTGCAGCAGGGACCTTTGCAATCCTGCTGCTGTGAGCAGAGTGCAGTGTGATGCAAAATCAAAAAGCTGTACAGTTGCAGTTCACAAGCTAAAAACCTATTCCTTGCCTGCTCTGTGTTGATTTTTTCCCCCCTCAAAACCAAACCACAACCAAAACAAACCCCTAAAGCAGTAGCAAGCAAACAAGGTTGAGTTTTTCATCTGACAGATGTATCCCAGTGGGAGGGTTTAGTGCAATGCCTGTGGTGGCACTGCACTCCTTGGCTGCTGTGACAGCCTCAGACGATGGGGAACTGAGAGCTCCTCTCTGAGGTGTCAGGCACAATGATGTCATATTTTGCAGTGGAACAAACAGAACATGGTAAGGATGGAATACTGCAGAGTTTGCAGACATCTTTCCAGAAATGTTTATGCCTTAATCTGCTGGAATTCACCATAAAATGGCTTGTAAAGGCAATATGCTATCTAAGCAGCCTCTCCAGTTCTAGGAAACAGATGCAAAACAACTGCTCCTAGAATGGAAAAAAAGGGTAAGGTAAGCCTTAATTATGTTTTGAAAGAACACAACCAAAAAAAAAAAAAAGATGAATCAGAGGAAAACAATCTTGACCCAGAAGGAGCAGCAAAAGCAAATGCTGAAGTACACGGGTCTGAGGTTGGGTGGGGAAAGGGGCTGTTAGAAATTCTGATGATATGTGATGATATGTTTGTATGTTTAATCTCTGCCCTAAGAGCTGATGGATGGTCTAACAGATGAAAATTTGTTTCTCTTCAGAGGCTTGTTCTTTCAAAATGAGAATTTTAAGTGCACAGTGTTCTGACCTAAAATATTTCAATTCTAGCCTGAATTCCTATGCCAGCGGGGATTATGAGATCATGCTGTCTGTCAACTCTTCTTTTGTCCATCTGTTCCCCTCCTCCTTTTCTTGATAACTTCTGAACCTTCTGGCTAATTTTCACCAAATTTGACAAAGCAGAGATAGAATGGAGCCTGCAATTAATAATGCATGATGAAAACGTACATGGAAATTCCATGTCTGGGTAGAAAGAAAAATAAATGATTTCCTGCATTGAACATGGCCAAATTGAGCTCTTCCCTGTTTTCAAGAGGTGGCCACTGGCCAGCACAGACATGGCTCCAAACCTGCTCCAGAATGAAATGAGTGCTGCTTCCCCAGGTGAACAGATGGGGAGATAGGTTTGGGAAAGGCCACAAGGGAGGTGGGACATCATAGCTGTGTGAGTCTGGAAGGAGGGAGAGGAAGCAGCCACACGGGGAACTGAAGGCATCAGTTGCAGCAATCCAGGCAGACAATATGATAGACAATAGACAGGCAAACTTTTATCAGATGTGTTTGTGGACTTCATTGGCAGAGCTGCCTTTGGACAGCAGAATTTTAGGAATTTTTCTAGGTGTTTAAAATTTGCTTTTACACAGGCATTTTTTACATGAATTACACTGATATTTATAAAATCAAACCAAACCAAAACCCCAAACCACAACATTGTGAAGCACAAGTCTGCAAAATACCACTGTAGGAGAAGTTCATTTTGGTGCAAGTAACTGACTGAACTGAAACAGCAGGGCATTATGAAATGAGCTGGTGAACGCTTTTGTTTCTTCCCTGTTGGACAGACACAATGCACTCTATCTGCAAGATGATTTGAAAATTCAGCCAGCCTAAACTGCAGCTGCAGATCAGACTGTAATCTGATGGGGAGGAATTCAACACTACAGCTCTTTTTGCCCATGAAAACTCACTGCCGGGTCAGGATTTAGTCTAAAAATGTCTTGCACAGACCACATTATACCAGAAACCAACATTCTGTATTTTGCAAGTGATACAGGTGCCGATTTTGATCAAAAAAGCCTAACATGAGCTTGCCTTAGCTGTGCTAAGCTACAAGGTTGCTCATTTCCCTGCGTTGGTTCATTTCAACAATTGCATTAAGTGAGATTAGAGAAGCAGGACGTTTAAGACAAGTAGTGGGAGGGCTCAACCACCCACATATGGACTGGGTCAATGCTTCATCAGGGTGAAATGTAGAGATAACATTTCTGGATACAATAAATTATTTCTTTTTAGAATAACTGGCCCTATGAACCACAACAAAAAGAAATGCCATTCTGAATTTAGTCTTCAGCAGTGCAGAGGATCTAATTCAAGAGCTATTAGTGGGTGAGCTGCTCAATAGTAGCCACCACAATATAATTAAACTTAACACTAAGATGAATGCAAGACAAATAAAGCAAACAGATACTCAATTTTAAGAAAATGACTTATGCAAAAATGGGGGAAAATGCCAAAAAAACCCTAAATGAGCAGTTCCAAACCAAGGAGCCTGCAAACATCCATAAGGCTTAAAAATACAGTTCTAGAAGCCAAGGTAAAATGTCTGACATAAATAGAAAAACATGGCAAAAACCTCCCCTCCTGGTATGACTCAATGAGAACTTTAAGGAGGCTGTTGCAAGGCACATGGGGAAGCCCAAGAAAACGTGGCATGAGAAATGTAAAGAGGAAGTGAAGACAGCTAAACTCGAGGAGTGGCTGATAAAGGATGCTCAGAGTGTTAGTGACAAGTTTACATGACGTTTGTTTGAGAGCCAGGCTTTGCAATGCAGAGGTGCCACAATCTGTGGCCAGAGCATTCTGGCAACCTCATGGGCAGCAGCAGCCAAAAAGCCAGGAAAACAGGGAGCTTTGTAAGGAAGGCACTGGAAATGAGGATTCCACAGGAAACCTTGGTACACCCGTGCCCTGAGGACTCTGTGCAGTCTGGTCTCCACACCCTGAGCAAGGCACAGCGATGCTGTGGAAGGTTCAGAGGAAGATGTTGGGAACAATGAGGGGAATGGAGCACTGAAACAATGAGGGGAATGGAGCACTGCCCCTACAGAGGCCAAATTTTGGGACTCTCCAAATTGGAGAGAAAAAAGCTGAAAGAAAATGCTCTGGGGTTTTGTAAATTGTCATGAATACCACGGGTAAGGTACATGCAGAAGTGGCAGTGACCAAATCCTGAAATGTGAATACCAGGAATCATTCGATGGGTTTTAGAGAGAGCTACAAAACAATTAGGAAAGTGCCTTTTCAAGCAGCACTTGATGTTCTGGATGTTGCCTTGCGAAGTTATGTGTCAGCATGTTCAAAAAGGCACCAGGCAAATCCAGGGACATTAAGCCCCATGAATTACCACCGAAAGGGCTAAGCAGGGGTGAAAACCAGCAACGCAGCAACACTGGGTACGGATGCTGAAGTGCCCGCCGCTAGCCATGTCTGGGTTTCAAGGAAGCTGAAGGGCACAGCGGTCAAAGCTGGACGATATGAATTGCGCTCAGGACTGCCCCATCCTCCTGTTCCCGTGTGCTGGGTAGGGAAATGAGCGAGCAACGGCCGCGGAGAGCGGAAGGGACGAGCCCGAGGGGGCTGAGG